CCCCAAAACCCCAAAACCCCAAAACCCCAAAACCCCGAACATATGTATTTAAAGCTAAGCAAGAAGTAACATAAACAAAATACAAGACTTTATATAAGAATTAGCTAATTTGAATTAGACTTGGTGAAAATACTAGAAATAAAATACAGAAATTTTAAAGAAATTATTAATAAGTATCGACTTGTTTATTTGTTAATAGCTAGATAATGAAATATAGTAGAATTCTGTTTAGTATATAAGGAAAGAAGCTCAAATTTTAGCTCTGTACTCGGTATTATCCTTGTACACTCTTTTGATAACGGGCAATATTTTGGAATGGAGGTCTTTGACCTCAGGAATGGAGCACATTCTGCTCATCCAGGCCATAACTTTAGGATACTCTCTCAATGTTTATGATTCTAGGGGGAGTAACTAGGCTAACTCACAGGCAGCACTAAGGTCAGCCAATGTCACTTCATCTGTTATCAAGTACTTTTTGTTAGGATTCTTCAGCCAGTAAGTCTCAATTGTTTGGAGAGAAGCCTTCAAATAGTTCATAGAATTTATTACTTCGTCATGAGGTACTTGCTTCTAAGTAAGGGGTAGAAAGTAGCTAGTCAAGAAGACACCCTCAGCTCCTTTTCTTAGGTTTGAATGATGCCAGTCCAAATACTCATCAACTTTGGCTCTCAAAGCAGGATCTTTAGGATACCAGTGATCAGGAGTAGCTCTTGTAAGATGGAGATACTTTAAAATGGCGTGAGACTCGAACAAATTAATGTTGTTAAGAGTATCGGTAATGGCTGGAATCTTTGCGTTGGGATGAATCTTTCTGTATTCTGGTTTCAAATGATCTCTGTGAAGGATAGACACCTCTTTATACGTGAAGGGAATCTTGTTTATCGTGAGGAAGCAGAAGACTGCTCTAGTAGGCTGACTTCCGTAGTCTCCATACAGAATAAGGTCAGGTTAGGCCGTTGTTGTAGAAGATTGGAGTGACTGCGGACTCTTGCTGGGATCCATATATTACTTTACTTTTAATAATAATCTTCAGAGAAAATTAATTATACTCCAAATCTTTCTAGATACTGAAATCTGGGGTTTTGGGGTTTTGGGGTTTTGGGG